AGCAGGAAAGTGACTACTGTGAATAAACTTGATTTGCTAAGTCATTTCTGTACTGTAGCCTCACTAAAGGCTGAGTACAGAACATATGAACTGAGTGAAGGAGTTTATTGACAGAAAGAATCCTAGCTGGAAAGGGAGTACTGTATCAGAGCAGGCTTGGCAGATAAAAAGTTCAGAGCTCCTTTGTATTTAGTTGCAGAACATTCCAGTTGGAGCTCAGAACAGGTGATTTGCTTCCAGTGTAGTTAACTTAGTCCCTGAGCAGTCCCTCACCCTCTGCCTCCCAAGAAATTACTTCACCTTTGAGGGTTTCAGGTACACCAAAGAAGCACCACAATTCACACCAAATACACCCCAGGACAGTTCATAGCAGCAATATCTGATATTGTACTAGGAAAGATCTGCATGCTATAGCCTCATTATCATACAGCAATATAAATCCAGCCTAAATAAATACACTCCTGGCATCTTGGCACATTCCATGTTTAGATACTACATACCTCTTCAGTGCCTACAGATTCACCTTGGTCCAGACAACCATCCCTGCCTCAGCCTGTGCAGCACAGCCTCACCATTAATGCTGAACAGGCTGATCCAACAGAAGCAGCAGCAGTTTCAGACTTACATAACCAGCCTGCCAAACCTCCCCAGACTTCAGCCAACCATAAGCATAACCAAGTACTAATGCTATGTTCTACCAGACACACCTGGAGAGGAAAGATAATCACTCATGTTAGAAGAACAGGGACATCCTGAGCACACCACACCTAAATAGTAAAACCAGTCAGAAACAAGATTAAACGTATCTGGCTGCCAGAGACATCATACAGCAGAATGTACCTCACTAGATAAAGGCTGACAGAGCCAAGAGCATGAATGCTTTCCACAAACCCCAGTACCCCTGTGATATTTAACAAGTTCAAGGTATTAACAGAGTAATGGCTGCAGGAGCAAATATCCTCCAGTTTGGACAAATCCTCTATCCAAAATCATCCAACCTAAACAAGTGAAGATTGGCTTGTTGTTGACAGACACCTGGCTGAGCAGTGTTTGAAATTCCTGCCTGAAATTGCTGGCCAGCATTATCCAGCTAGGGACAGTGAACAGAAATAACACCACTGTTCTGTTTCACTAGCTAGTTTGTCAGCTTGATTCCTCATTTGCTGAATACTTTATCCAGCCTCCTCTTGCCTCCTTCTTTCTGTTGGCCACTCTGTTGCTAATGGAGCTATGGGCAAAATAGGACTACACACCAGATCTCATGACATGCATGGTAATTTAAGTTTCCACCCCTTGCTTCCAGGACCTTCATGAAATCAGGGAAGTTCTCCTCACCTTCAGTGGTCTGCAGCTCAAGTGAGGCAGCCTCATGCACAGCTCCAGATAAGCAGACACAGATGCATTCTATGTTGGTTCTTGCAACTCTTCAGTTTCCATTACACATATTCTTAATCCTCAATAGATTTCTTTGTCAGAACATGACTGCAAAGCAGAATTCAAGCACTGCTGACAGAGTTTCTTACCTCTCAGAAGCC